ACGTAGTGTTTAAATATGTAAGTTTTATTTTTTATTTGTAGACCATTCTTTAAATAAAATGGATTAAAAAATCAAAAAATTACTTGATTTAGCGTAATGTTGCTTATATTTTGGGACGGAGGGAGTATATTATTCCCTCCATCAAAAAAAGAGCATAATTAGACTTTTAATTATTCAAAAGTTACAAAATCTTTTCATTCATTCATTCATAAGAAGAAAGCATTTACGTACTATACATATAATCCCATCCTCGAAGCTAAAATAATAGAGAAGTTTTGCATATATATATATTCTCAATCTATCCATATATATCTAATGAATGATCAAAACTAGAAGAACTAAAAATTACCAATAAAATAAAGAACATTGTGTCCATTAATAAGTAATAACTGGGCATGAAGAATCAGGAAACCGGGTAGTACAATTGATTCAATTCGCCCAATAGATCCAACTCAAAGTTCCATAAGCTGATTTGCGAAGGCCTCTACGTCCCCAAGAAAGTCGTCATCCCCAAGCGAATCATTCATCGGCATCGACTCTAACAATCCCCAAATCCGCAAACCGATTCTCATTCCCAGAATCACAGCCCAAACACCCTTCTCTGGACTCAATCATGTGGCGGGACGACGCCAGCTCGCCCAAATCCAGGAACCGATTCTCATTCCCAGAATCATAGCCCAAACACTCTTCTCTGGACTCAATCACGTGCCAGGACACCAGCTCGCCGAAATCCCACCGTACCCGCCGCCAGAATCAGACTCGCCCAAACTCCCGCCCGCCGCCCTGAGGAGGGCATTGGGGTCGCCGAAGATGTAGGGTTTCCCGTCGAGGGAGAAGACGAGGGCGGCGACGCGGGTTCCCGGGCATAGGCGGCAGATCTCGTGGGCTTTCTTGAAGAGACCCTGGCGGCGCTTGGTGAAGGCCACGTTCCTTCTCTCCACGTTCTCGATTTTCTTAATCTCGATTTTGGCCTTCCCTTTCCCCATTATGAAGGGAAATTTCTAGTTAAGAAAGAAATTAAACAACGTTGTCTGAAGAAGAAGGAAGATTAAAGAAGTTAATTGCGTCAGGTGAAGTTCCATCTAGGAGTGTGGTTAAATATATAGGGCGCGCGGGAGGGTCCGCAAACAACGGGAATTCAGTTGGGACACTACTGAAAACGCGTACTTAGCTAAATTTGAGTTCTGTTTTGTGTCTGAGATCCGGAAATTTACCACATCCTAAAAAGATACTCAAAGATTTTTTTTAGTGCTTGCATACCAAGAAAAAAGGGGGTTTGGGTTTTACAGTGCAGTAAAAGTGGGTTGGGGTTGGGGTTGGGGTTTCGCACTAAATTTTTAGATAGAGTAGAGCAATGGTAATCAAACACAAATTATACATTTACTCTCCCCCCAAAATATAAGCAACACTCTACTATTTAAAAATCACGGGAACTTATTTTTTATTTTTGCATTTTCATTGATT